CCATTTTACATTTCTAATAGATAAAACTCAACAACCTTTAACATAAATCCAGAGGGAAATTCTGCTCCGGAAAGGGCAATTTGTAATGAAAGATGATGAAAACACCGAAGGACCCCGTTCCAAAGACTTAATGCCAGCCTTGAGCCAGAAGGTGGCACCCTAAGACCTTTCAACGCTCTTTGATGCTACTTCCTGAGAGGCTGGCGCATCCTTGTTCAACTTTTATCTGCTTTTAAAAGTAGGATTTATTGATCGTGCCTGTGACCTGCTGTACTGCTCCTGACCCCTCTTTGCTTGCCTCTCGCCAAGCCCCAGAGGAGTGCGAAAAGTATTGTACGACTAACAAAGCCGAGAGATGACCTTTTCCAGAGAAGCTGCAATTCACAGCAGCCGCCTTCACACGAAAATCCTGCCTTCAATGGGACTGTGCCTCTGACCCAGCCCTTCAGCTTATGGGGTGCTGCTGGCTGCACCCCCAGCATTAAGACAGGGGTAGATAACTGTTAGGCTCCTCAGGCCAGCTGCTTTAAAACTACTCTTCTAAAATAATAATAATAATAAATAAATTACAATAACCCAAAGAGTAAAACCCCAGCCAACCAGTGGAGACTTGTGCATTAGGGCACCAGCCTCTGTCTGCTCCCAGTCAGTTCCCACCTGCTTACCTACTTACTCACAGCTATTCGAGGGGGGTGGCACTACCTGTCAGCTTCCTCTTCCTTTGTCTCAGTGTGCCCTCTTGTAGAACTCAGCAGGCAGGAGGATGGAGACAAAGCGAGAATGACTTGTCTCTGACTGTCATTGGCTCTTTGGCTCCACCTACTGTTGGGCTCCCTGTCTTCAGCCCTACCAGCCGCAATGACCACCAGCTGCCACTGGAGGCATGCAAAATAATAAATCCAAAGCAACTCAGTTCAGGGCAAAGGCAGGTGAGTCAAATCTAGATGCCCGTGTGCTCTCTTATGGTTGAGCTATCCACTATATATATTGTCTTTCTCTGCCTGTCTGTTTGTTCTCTAGCAGTTCAGACACCTCTTGAGATAGTGTTGCATGAGGGTCTCTGAACTGGGGGGTGGGTGGCACTCCTCATCAATATTTGGATGGAGGTTGCCATTTTTGCTCAAACGGGTAGGCAGAAGCATCACTTCGGCATGGTTTTGCACTTTTTTGACATGCTTTCAGCCGCTCCTCGAGATATCATTGCCAAACTCAGCATGAAGGCTCCTGAGCTAGAGATATTATACAAAATGGTTTATTTAGTCTTCTTCCTCACCCCTCAAAAATGTACAGCCTCACTTTGAATGTGAAAGGTTTTATTCATTAAGAACTTCTATATACATTTATAGTTGTGAAAAGGGAAAGGGCGACAAGGCAGCAAAAGGGAGCTGAAACTGAATGAGAAAGAAAAAGATAAGCTGTTTTTGCAGTCCATCTTTTATGGAAATCCCTCGCTCCTCCAAGGAATCATTTTATCCTTTGCAAATTGTACAGTGGGGGCTTTTGGCATCAAATGTACATGTTATTGTTCTCAGCTGTTGTTCATCAAGGGAGACGTCATGCAAAATAGCATACGTTTCCTGAGGAATTACTGGGGCTTGCAGGGAAGAGGCTGACATGAGCTGTGTGTGCAAAAGCTGGAATGTAAAAAGTATTTCTGTTATGTGCTACCCCAATCACCAAGCAGTGAGACTCCAGGGGTGCCTGCACTTTACCCAGAGTTTGGTTTCTTTGCCATGAAAGTCAGTGGTATCTTTAGGATAGACGGCTTTATTTAATAGATTCACAGAAGGTACCAAGAGTCATCTAGTCCAATCTCCTGCAATGCAGAAATCACAGCTAAAGAATCCCTGACAGATGGTCAACCAACCTCTGTTTAAAAACCTCCAGTGAAGGAAAATTCAATATCTGAGGTAGTCCATTCTGTTATCAAACAGCTCTTACAGTCAGAAAGTTGCACCTCTGCACATATTTACACATATATACATCCTGGGCATAGGACAGAGGGGCTTGCCACATTAGCGCACCCATAGATATTGCTTCCCCATTCGATTTCCAGAGAAGCCCCAAAGCCCAGTTTAGGATCAGCACAGAGCAAGCTTCCAGCATTTTTGCTCACACATACACAACAGCAATGGCTGTTTCTTATCTACCTACCAGCCGGGTGAGGAGCATGGGTGAAACGCTCACTCATTTCCGCTCCCTCTCTATCTCTCTCTCGATGATGCAAATGACAGGTGATAAGCCAATCAGCCAAGGTCATTACCCTGGCCAAGGAACTAGCGTGACCTGTTCACGGTCTCCCTCTTATCCATTCTACTGTAGCCTCACTGATACAGGATCTGACAAATTGGAAGGGAGCCAGGGTTTCACCATAGCAGTATGTACACAGAAGACGAAGAGGGAGGGGACAGGGCTGAGATTTATTCTGTTTATTTATAAAAGAATTTCTATACCAATGTGTCTGTCTGTCTGTCTGTCTGTCTGTCTATCTATCTATCTATCTATCTATCTATATCTATCATCTATCACAGCAGTTTACAACAATATAAAAACATAGAAGCAAACAACAAATTCAGAAGTGGATGTGCAATGAGAGCCAAAGCAGATGAGAAGAAGCTTTGGGCAGTAAGAAAAGTCCTTCTGGATAAGGGGCGAAGAGGGCAAAGTGGGAGAGCATGTGCTCTGCCGGCAGACGGTTCAGTCCCTGGCATCTCCAGGTAGGGCTGCTATATCTGGGGACAAACCTGAGCTGGGTAGACCAATGGTCTGACTCCGAATAAGGCAGCTTCATGGGTTCAAAATGATGCTACCCTTGGAAACCATTTTTCTCTCTCTCTCCAAGCTGGCTGCCAAGAAGAAGCAGGGTTCTGGAGGGACAGGACTAGCTCCCAAACTTTTCTAAAAGGCCCTATTTCATGAATAAAGTTTGGGGCTCTTTTCTTTTTTTAAGACAATTTAAAGAACAGTAAAAACAGATCTGTGAATATGGCTTTGATGCAAATTGAGCCTTTACAGGTGCAAATGACAAATTGTCGTTGGGTCTCATGCATACATTGATAATACTCTTGATTATTATTTTTTAAAAAAACACCCAGCTTTGAACTTCAAGGGATTGGAAGATATAAAGCGGTAGCATACATTCAAAGTGTTCTGTATCCATTTTGAAGGAAAGAAGGGGTACACACAGGTGTGTTGTGTGTAAATAGTTATTAAAGCAAAAACAAACGAACAAGATACAGCACTACCTCATAGTTTCTTTCTTTCTCTCAGTAAAGAAATGGTTCTCTTTGGTGTACAGCGTCTACTGTCAAGTGGGAAACAATGTGAGCCCCCCCCATTAGCTACTATTAGGGTGAAATGACCAAGGGGAAGAGACAAGACTTCAAGAAGTGTTTATTTTCAGCTAAATGCTGTGGTGGGAAGTGTGTGTACATGCGATGGGAGGCCCTTTATACCAGCGGCGGAGAGCAGGTTGCCCTCAAGGTGTTGTTGGGCTCCAACTCACATCAGCTCCAGCCAACTTGGCCAATGGCCAGGGATGACGGGAATTGGAAGGTCCAACAACATCTAGACACCACCCAATGCCAAGGTGGTGGGTCATTTTTTGTTGTTGGGAAAGAAAAAAAGGGAGCATGCCACTTATCTCTAGGTCACAGATGAGGAACCTGTGGGTCCCCAACTGTTGTTGTTGGGCTCCAAGTTCTATCAGCCCCAGTTGACCCAGTCAACATTGAGGGATGATGGGAGTTGTAGTCCAACCACATCAGAGGGTCATAGGTTCTCATCCTGCTCCAAAGAAACAAACATATTTTTTCTTTCTGTCAAGTAAAGTGTGTGGCAGCCTCTGAGGCTACGTAGGGGGCAGCCATAGAAGGGGAAATGGCAGTGATTTTGTTCCACCTATGGCATATCAGGTCCTTGGCAGGTTTGGAAGGTGCCTAAACTTAGGCTGAAATGCTATACTTCCTTATGTGGCTGTTAGTCTCATTGACCTAAACTGGGCTTGCATTCGGGTCAACACATGTAGGACTAAACTGTTAGCCTGTACTCCTGTGCCTGGGAACAAGTCCCATTGACTATGCACAGGCTTATGATATGTGCTGTTCAGATGACTGGGTAACTTCTTTTTATTCTCCAACTTTAGGGTGATTTGTGATTTCTGCTTCTGTTTGCTTTGGGCTATATTCTGTAAATGCATCCAACTGTGGACTCTCAGGTGATCTGATTGAGTAGCTCTAGTGAAAACCACGGGAATGCATTTTGAAGCTTGTAGGGCTGACATCAAGGGTCTTCATTTTTTGTGATGCAGCAAACTGAGCATTATTTCCACTGTTTTTTAAATGATTATGCACATGAAAAACAAGTGTGTGTGTAAGAGGGGAGCCAAGAAACTCTGATTTCATTGGAGTTCCTGATTCTGTGCCTGATTAAACAGCTGCCTACAATTCTAGATAAATCACTTTCCTTGTTTAAGGTTTAAAAATATCAAAGCCTACTCTCTCTGGCTTTCAAGGTGTTTGGGGAAAGAAAGAATACACTTCAAATGCCAACATTTCCAGTTTTATCCATTTCTACTTGCAGCTGTGCACTGATTTCAACAGCACACACTCTCTCTCCCCCTCCCACCTTTTTTAAAAAAATAAACCCCCCCAATCTTTTAAGCCATGCTTCAGATAATCTATATTTAGCACTAAATGGCACGCTAAATTTTAGAAACATTATGACATAGTGCTTTGGTTCAAATAATTGCTGGCATTATCCATGACCGATCAGACAGAAAAAGACGACAAAGGCTAAAAGAGCATCAGCTTAAACCTGCTGGGTATCTGTCATTTCCCCCTCATCTGCTAAAACAAAAGTGCTACAACAATGATTTCCAAACCATTTTGAGCTACCGCACCCTTGGTTCCATAAACTCATCCCCAGTGCTTCCCACCCTATAAAAACCATATGGTTTGCACAACCCACTAAAGATAACCATGCAATAAAACTCAAAACAATAACAATGATTTGCACATTTATTCAAGGTTGAGTTAAAATGATTCAGTTTAATTAATTCAATAAAACTGACAAACTTGATCCAGTGATATCAGCTTTTCAAAGTCTGATAGTCAGTTACATCTTCAGAGACCACCTGCTGTCCCCTTGCCTCTCAGCACCTGCCTAGTTATCCCATTGTCCCCAGGGGGCAATACCACCCAGTTCAGGAACCAATGTACTACTATAAGCATCTAAATGCAGCCCTCAGGTGGATAACGTTCTTCTGCCCGACATGAGCCCTGATTAGGCATTTAAGAACACGTTGACTGTAACTGGGTAAGGCAAGAAAGTGGGGTCACCCATATTTACACACAGGTGTGCGGTCCAACAGTGGGGTAGGTCACATGACTCCCCCACCCCCCAATGTCTCACATTACAGTCACACATTGCCAAATGACTCAACAGGACTGTTGCCAAAAACTGCACCACACGCTGATCCTATAAAAGCCGAAGGGGATGAAGGCCTTTGCCGACCAATTTGCTTTAAAAAATAAAAATACCCGTTTACCTCCCATCTGAAATATAATCCCCCATTAAAAACTTTTGGGGCTTAGCGAGAAACAAGCAGAGACTTCAGCTGGCTTCAGATTCCGAAACGCAGAAGTAATTTAAGAGGCTGCAAGCCTGGGATTTAACGTTATCAATATGGAGGCTCACTCCAAATGTAAAAATGGCAGCTCCCTAGATTATAAATTTAAAGTCTGCTTGATATTTCCGCTCGGTGCTATAACGGGCAGAAGACGGAAAACAGCAGCCTCGTAACTGCCGTTCCAACATCATTCATCTCCATGTTCGACCGAAGCCCCTTTTGGATTACACGGCTTAAGTTAAGGCTTTTATTTATTTATTTTTCTGTTTCCAGAAAGAACATTGCAAGCAAGGGAACATGAAACAAGCATAAAAGGAGAAGTACTTACAACAAGGGCGCTAGGAAGAAACTTTGAAGCTGTGAGTTTGCTGGAAGAGCGATTAGAATACCCCCTGTAGGCATCAGCCAGCAAGCAGGTGTGTTTATAATTAAACATCAGCAACAAACCCATAAAACCTCAAGTTTTGCCAAGTGTGAGGCTCCGGCAGTTATTAGATATAACACCTTTTACAAGTACTCCAAGAGGCAAAATATTACAGACACAACAGAAAAAGGGGTTCCCAAATGATGGACAGCGAGCTTCAGGTTGTCTGTGAATTTACAATCAAGGATGGGAGAGGAAACAATCACCGCATTTAATTGTACTTTATCGTCTATTTCTGATACAGCATTTTATTTTGAGACAAGTTGCACTGTTTGGAATTCAAACCGTAATTCAATTAAATGTAATAGGTAAAAAAAGAAATTAAAATATCATACAGTGTCCTGCACAGCCCATTACAATTGCTACAAAAGGCAGGGGGGAGGGGGGATCATGAAGTGCTGCTCTAAAACCCACAGCAGTTTTCAGGTGGTCCATGGAGGAGAAAGGGTGGTGCAATGTGTTTAAATGTGGTTCGAGCCACCCAGGGATGGCTTAAGGTCCCTTCCAACTCTACAATTCCATAATAAAACATAATGTAGGAACAGGGATCAGATCATTGGGCCATCTAGCTCAGCACTGTCTGCACCAGGCGTGGGGAATCTCAGGCCCAGGGTCTGAATGTGGCCCTCCAAACCTCTCTATTCGGCCCTCAGGACTTTCATGGGGCTGTACTTCTGTGCCTGCTCTGCCTCCACCTCAAGTGGTTTTGCTTGGCTGGAATGCATATTTACTTCCCTGGGTAGAGGGCAACAACCCCAAAGAATCGTCTCCCTTCCACAGAACTACAGTACTCAGCACCCTTAGCAAACTACAGTTCCCAGGATTCTTGTGGAGGGGGGAGTCATGTGCTTTAAATGTATGTGTGGATCTGCCTTAAGATGTTCCTACATCTGGGTTAGCAAAGAAGGGTTGATTCCCAACACGTTATTTTACCAGTGTTAAAAGAAGTACAGTGGTACCTCAGGTTACATACGCTTCAGGTTACAGACTCCGCTAACCCAGAAATAGTGCTTCAGGTTAAGAACTTTGCTTCAGGATGAGAACAGAAATCGTGCTCCGGCGGCACGGCAGCAGCAGGAGGTCCCATTAGCTAAAGTGATGCTTCAGGTTAAGAACAGTTTCAGGTTAAGTACAGACCTCCAGAACGAATTAAGTACTTAACCTGAGGTACCACTGTACAAAGAAGCTTGTCTCCTCGCTAGTATCTCCCATCAGAAGACTCTGGGGAACCAGGAAAGGATCACCACTGCAAACAGGAGGACAAGTACCATGTCCCTAAATAAATGTTTTGCAGTGTACCTCCTGGACTTATGGACATAGCCATGAGATTTAAACCACTCGACTGATTCTTTAATGCTGTGTGGACATGGTGCGTACCCCAGCTCCCTCTTGGCCTTTTCCAGGCTGAAATAATTAGAGACGCCACTTTTGTAAACTTCTGTGCGAGTGAGGAAGGGCTGGAAGTTATATAGGCGCCCAACCACGGAATATACCATCTCAGTGAGAAATGCGAAGTAGTAAACAACAGACAGAGGGAGACGGTAAGTCGGAAAGGGGTAGCCTAAGCCTTCTACGAAAGGCCGGAAAAAATCAAAGTTGTTGATTGGTCTGCCATCTGAAATGAAGTAAGCTTGACCAGCTGACCTGTGACCCTTACTATCTCCCAGAGCTTCGGAAGCTAAGATGTGAGCTTCTACCAAGTTGTCCACATGTACAAAGTCCATTAGGTCTCCGGGATCCCCAAACAGGAACTGAAACAAGCCCTGTTCGAGGTAGCCAAGGATCCTCGGCAGATGTCTCTGCTCTCCAGGCCCATAGATGGCGGCAGGTCTCAAGGCACAGGTCCTCAGCAACCCTTGCCCTCCCTCAAGGGAGCTTCCATTTGCTTCCAGAACCTTCATCTCAGCTAAGGCTTTGGTCCTCGAGTAATGGTCAGGGTGGAGATGAAGAGGGAAATAAGGCAGAGACTCATCCCCGTTTTCGATCGCTTGGCCCCCAAAAACCACATTGTAGGTGCTCGTGTAAACCAGCCTTGAGACGCCCACTTTCTTGCAAGCTTCAATTATGTTTTCTGTCCCCTTGAGGTTGATGTCTTCTATAAGTTTTCGGTTCAGCTGCTCCCGGCCAGACATCCCATAGGAAGCAATATGGAAGACGCAGGTTGCACCTCGGAGTGCCCTTTCCACTTCGGAGACCACACGCACATCACCCTGCACAAATTTCACTCCTTGTGGCATCGGTTGGATGGGCTCAGTGACATCAAAGAGGATGACATCTACTCCCTTCTTGGAAAGGGCAACACCTAGGCTGGAATGTGACAGGCAATCCAATCCAAATAATAAAATATATGACTTTGAAACAAACACCTTACATCAAATAAGGTACTATTCAATACCAGTTAGAATACCGTATTTTTCGCTCTATAGGATGCACTGGACCAATAGGACGCACTTTGTTTTAGAGAGGGAGAACAAGAAAAAAAAACTCCCCCTCTCTGCTCAGCGCCCCTTCAGCGAAATGGCAGGAGAAATGGAGCCCCTTCCATTTCTCTTCCTGCTTGGCTGAAGGGAAGCTGCGCAGCTCTCCCTCTCTGCTGAAGCCAGGAGAGTCTTGCTCCGCAAGCTTCAGGCTCCCTCTGCGCTTTGGAGGCTCCGCGTTGCTATCGCTTAAGCCAAGGAGCCTGCATTTGCTCTATACGACGCACACACATTTCCCCTTAATTTTTGGAGGGGAAAAAGTGCGTCCTATAGAGCGAAAAATACGGTATATTATTTCGCAATCAAAGGAACTCTCAAAACACCAGCAAATAATAATTAAACAGAAATCTACCTAACACCCCTCTGTTTTCACTCAAAGGGGCTTTTCACGGTTCTACTGATAATAACTACGTGGCCTGCAGACTTTCATCAGTAGACCAACCCAACCTAAGCTTCCGTTGATTGAACTGGTGGGAATCAAAATTATGAAATTACAGGTAGCACATCTGCTTTACATGCAGAAGGTCCCTGAGTTCAAACCCTGGCATCTACAGGTAGGGTTGGCAGAGGCTCCTGCCTGAAGCCCTGGAGAGTTGCTGCCAGCCATTGCAGACAATACAGAGCTAGATTTTGAAGACTGAAGTGGGACCTTCCACATGCATCTATCACTGAGCTACGGCCTTTCCCCATAGCTGTATAGTGTATGTGTGTACATAGAAATGTGTGTGTGTGTGTGTGTGTGTGTGTGTGTTGGTGAGGGGAGAAAGAAATTAAAATAATAAATTATTTAAAACAAACATATTGCTTCATTGCTAAATATAATTGCTCCATGTGTCCTAAAATAAAAGTATACTAACCGGAAACCAAAATAACCACCTCCTCCTGTAATAAGGACTGTTTCCTTGACGGGGTTTTCTGCATCCATGCTGTGCTTTTTGCTGCTACTTCCAGTCATTGTCTATAAATAGATAAAGATAACACATCATAGCTGTTATTCTAATAATATAAAAAATAAAAAGATGCTGTGGCTCTTAATAGTTCATGAATTGCAAAACCTGCACATTACAGGATTTTGTTCCGAGCAATTGCTCCCTCCAGATTTTCCCAATGCCATTTTAGATTTGTGCGTATATATCTATTTGTGCTCCCCCCCCACAAACACCGACCATATTTTTCCATGTATAAGATGCCCCCATGTATAAGACGACCCCTATTTTTTTGAACACAAAATTAAGAAATTAAGTTGTTTAGCTTTTGGGGGGAGGTGGGGGAGGTCACTTTCGCCAATCACTCACTCGCCTGCCCGCCACTGCCAATCGCTTGCCACAGCCACTGCCGATCGCACATCTCACCGCAGCCAATTTTCTGCCCACTCGCCGCCACCAACAGCCCACCCGCCCACTTGCCACAGCCAATCACCAGCAGGCCTTGCCACAGCCGCCTGCCCAACTGCTGCAGCCACAGCCAATCGCCTGCAGGCCTTGCCGCAGCCACCAATCAACCGCCCAATCGCCGCTGCCAATCTCCTGTTTGCTGCTGCCATTAATCACACGTCCCCCCTCTACATTCACTATCCATGTATAAGACGACACCCAATTTTTGCCTAATTCTTTTTAGCAAAAAGCATCGTCTTATACACAGAATAATACGGTATATCACAACTGACTTGCTGCTTTGGTGCAAAGTGCACTTAGTCCATTTTGTAACCAGAGGAAGCTAGCCAGGTGCAAACAGAGTATGAAGGGAGGTTGCCAGCACCTGTGAGGCAATCGTAATTTCCTCGAACGTTCTGGAGCTGAGTGGCACTCTATAGGTTGCCAAAATGGAACCAGCCATGCAGAAGAGGTTGGAAGAAACATTCTTAAAATATAGGGAGGAAATAAGGACTTAGCATGCTCTGTGGGCACAGGATGCTGAGCATCTACTGGGGTGAAAAATGGGGGAGGAGGAAATGAAATGGCATGTTCTGGAAAAGGGTGTTGCTCTCTGTTGCCTCAAACAGGAGCCTTCCACACTGAAAGATTATGTTGCATAACCAGCACAGCTATCTTTTCACAGCAACCAGTGCTCAGGAGTATACTGCTTAGTCACACAGAAGTTGCCGCCCCTGCACAAAGGCTAAGTGATTTGAGCGGAGTGTCAAATAGGTCATTTGAGGTTCAGGTCTGCACTAGGTCTGCAATCCTCTGCATGCTTAGAATCATAGAATCAGAGAGTTGGAATAGACCACAAGGGCCATCGAGTCCAACCCCCTGCCAAGCAGGAAACACCATCAGAGCACTCCTGACATATGGTTGTCAAGCCTCTGCTTAAAGACCTCCAAAGAAGGAGACTCCACCACACTCCTTGGCAGCAAATTCCACTGTCGAACAGCTCTTACTGTCAGGAAGTTCTTCCTAATGTTTAGGTGGAATCTTCTTTCTTGTAGTTTGGATCCATTGCTCCGTGTCCGCTTCTCTGGAGCAGCAGAAAACACTGCTTATTTGGCAGTGGCTCCCATTACTATCCATAAAAAATGCAGTCAAGTGAACATGAATAGAATTGGGTTGTGGGCAGCCTTAGACAAAACACTATTCTCTTGGCTTCAGTTTCCCCCCCTCAACATCTGTAAAATGGGAACAATAGTACTTATCAGATATCCATCCATTAGATACCACATCTCATAAATAGCTAAAATTGTGTTTATTAGTTAGGTGTCCCTTTATAATATTTCCAGGGGAGTTCATAATAAAACAATAACAACAATTTAATAATATAGGGTTGCCATATTTCAAAAAGTGAAAATCTGGACACAAAAGTTTTGCCCAGAAATCAGCTGTAAAGAGTACGTATTGTGCTATCTCTCCCAATGTTTTTAAAAGACTTCTTGCAAAAACCGATCAGTTGCTATCACTCAGCCTAGTGGACCTCACAAGATTGTGGTGAAGATAAAATTACCGTAGGTGGGGGAAGGAATGCAATATTGGTCAAACTGGGTCTACAACTTCTCTGCTTAGCACAGAAAGCACTTCGCAGGAATAAAATCCACACTAAACTGCTAAATCTCAAAGCCCTAACATTTCACCCATCACTATCATACCAAAGGACCTTTGTCCATCATTATCAATCTGATATTTGAAGAATCCAGGATAAGCCATGAATTACAATAGCACTCCAGCCATAAATGGAAAACTTTAGATATAGATGAGAATTGGTGGTTTATCAGGCATATCATGAGGTCCTTGAACATGAAGCAAGGTTGATGATTGGAGTCTACGGTCACTGCTAAACAGTTGCTATCTTAGGGTGGACTACGGTCAAACACCAGCAAGTTCAGATTGTTTTCTTTCTTTCTTTTCTTTTTACATTTATATCCAATTAATGCAGTAGGATTACACTTGACTGCATCATCTGAATGGGACTGATGGAGATACATTTCTAAAACCTCACTTTTTCTACCTACCCACTGACCGTTAGGTATCAGGTGTTTATTAAGAGGAAGGTTGCACTTAAGGCCATAATTGAGGTACTCTGCACAATATCAATTCAAGAGAGGGCTGAGCCCTGGCATCAAAAACAAATCCCAGGGCCAAATCCAAGCTCACTTCACAATTATTCTAGTTCATGGCTGGGTAGAGCCATGACATGAAAAAAATTTTTTAGCACTGGTGCCAAATTCAAGCTCCTTAGTAATGCCCAATCGTCTCTTCACCCCACCCCCTGCAATGGAACCCTAACCTTTTGGAACACCACCCCCTTGGTTCCATAAACACATCTCCAGTGCTCCCCATCCTATGGAAAGTATTTGTTTAGGATACAGTGGTACCTCGGGTTATGGACGCTTCAGGTTACAGACTCCGCTAACCCAGAAATAGTACCTCGGGTTAAGAACTTTGCTTCAGGATGAGAATAGAAATCGTGCAGCGGCGGCGGGAGGCCCCATTAGCTAAAGTGGTACTTCAGGTTAAGAACAGTTTCAGGTTAAGAACAGACCTCCAGAATGAATTAAGTTCTTAACCCGAGGTACCACTGTACTGGATTGCACAGCCCACTATAGAAGATGATTAACACAATAGAATTCAAAACAGTAACAATTAATTGCACATTTAGTCACTACCCAAGTAAAACTATTTTATTAATTCCACGGAATGGATGGACTTGATCTGGTGATGGCAGCTTTCCCTGCATCTCCCTTGCCTCTTAGCGCCCCGCACACCCAAAGCCCAGCAGACGGCGGAGCCGCCCACTTAGGGAACTACAGTGGTACCTCGGGTTAAGTACTTAATTCATTCTGGAGGTCTGTTCTTAACCTGAAACTGTTCTTAACCTGAAGCACCACTTTAGCTAATGGGGCCTCCTGCTGCTGCCGCGCTGCCGGAGCACGATTTCTGTTCTCATCCTGAAGCAAAGTTCTTAACCCGAGGTACTATTTCTGGGTTAGCGGAGTCTGTAACCTGAAGCGTATGTAACCTGAAGCGTATGTAACCCGAGGTACCACTGTACTTCTATACAGGCTTGCTCCAGATAGGCAGGAGGGAGCACCATAACGCCACCTTCTGCAAAGCAGCCACAGACAAGCCTGAACGAGGAACTTCCCAATGCAAGCCCACTCCCCAATTCCGAGGAGCCTGCATACCCCCTTCTCAGTAATTTAGCTCTCATTACAATCTGTGCAACACGAGGTTGGATTTGTGGGGAGGAGCTATGAACGAAACTGACCGCGCTGAAGACTGGGGCAATTAAAAGAACCAGTTCACTGGATTCCTCCCCTCGCCCCGCTCTAGAGCAGCAGGTTTTTTTTCCCCTCCGCCCCACACAGGGTCTGATCTCCCCTACTCCCTTACCAAACAAAGTTTCTGACTTTCTCCTCTTCGCAGTGTGCGATGAGCGGTCTTTCCCGCCCCATCACCCTATATGCCGGCTCCTCCCTATAGGAAGGGCGATTTACGAAACCAGCCCCTGCAGAAATAGGCACCTTCCCCTCGCACCGAGGCATGCAGGGAAAGGAAGATCTGCCTATCCCCACTCCGTGCCGACCGGACCCTTTAAAACAAAGCAGCCGCGCCAAAGCACGACAGCAAAACTTCTCACGCTTTTATCTCTGCAGTCTGAAACCAGCCGGTACTTCGCCGGTTTCAGTAGCGCCAACATGGCGCCCTCCATTGCGGATATTTTCCGTACAGCAAGATGTCTGAACCCGAGGACCGGGCTTTCGTACAGCAAAACGGTGCTCTCTACTCGGGATAATGTCGTACAATAAGATGATAGCTGCTTTTGTTTATGCTATTATTATTATTATGTCTCCTCCTATTATTATTTGCTGTTGCTTCTCTTTTTATTGTTGTTGCTCTTTGTTTCTGATGCTATTGTATTATTTTATTAGTTATGTCTTCTGCTACTGTTATTACTTGCTGTAGCTTCTTTAGTTTTTACTGTCATTTTTAAACCAGTTATATATATATATATATATATATATATATATATATATATATATTATTCAATTTTCTGTTTTACAATTTAATGTACTCATTTTTACATCCTTATGATATCAATGACTTCCCTTATCTTTCCATGGTTCATTTTACATATCATAAATCCCTTTATATTTTACAAAAACTATACCATTCAGTATTCCATTATTACATCCATCAAAAATTATTTACACTGTTGAATGTATCTTAATGCTGCCAGCGTTTTCAGCTGTGCACAGTTATTTCCCATATATTCAATAAACATTTTCCAATCTTCTCTAAACATATGTAACATCTGTTATTGTTCTCTTATTCTATATGTTAAGTCTGCAAGCTGCGCATATTCTGTCAATTTAAGTTGCCGTTCTTTGGCTGGGACCTCTCTCATTTTCCATTTTTGGGCTAACAAAACATGGGCCCCAGTAGTAGCGTACATAAATAACGTTTTTTGACACCTGGGAATTTCAATCTGAATTATCTGGTTTTTGGAGGAAAGTACTTTTAAACATTTTTTTCAGTTCATTATGGATCATTTCCCAATACTCTTTTATTAAACCAATTTAGTATGTTTTAACATCTGATTATAAGTCAGATTTAATTATTATTTTTGGAAGTTTAAAATAGGTTAAAATAATAAAATAATTCCTTCTAGACAAGAGGGGATACAAAAATTTACTGAATATGCTGAATTAGATAGCCTATCTGAAAAAATAAAAAATAAACCGAGAATTGAATTTGTATCCAAATGGGAGGCCTTCAGAACATATCTTTAAACAAAATTATACCATATTAAAATCTGTGGCAGCTTTTGAGTGATCCCAGCAGTTTTTATTAATTGCTTATATAAATATAAACATTCATAAATTGTGAAAGTATTAATATAAAAATAGTATTTTGATATGGCAGTAAATTTATGTAAAAAGAGTTAAGGAATAAATGGGAGGTCAGGTATAAAAGATAACGAGATTGTTATTTTTATTGTAACATGAAATTGCAATCACAAATTTTTGTCATAATTTTTATCTTATTAACAGATTGTGTAAATTTAATTTTCTTTCCTTTTCCCTCCCCTCTTAAGTTGTACCCCTTTTCAGGTTGTTGGGGGGGGGTTGTATGTAATAAGCATGGAAATAAGCATGGAAAAAGATAAAACAATAAAAAAGGGGGAGGAATCTGATTATAAGTCAGCTAAAGACTGCCAAGTGCTTAAGACCAACAAATTAAATAATAATAATATTCTAGTTTGTTTATTGTTATGAAAACTGCTTTGAGGGTCCTGCAAAATAACAATAATGTAAATAACAAAAATAACATGCAGACCTTTAAGGCATTTTACCATCAGCCCCAGCGAGAATATCCAATGTTCAGGAATGATGGGAGCTGGAGTCTACCAACATGTGGCCACAGGGTTCCACATCTGTGATCTAACGGATTAATCAGCTAAGGTTGCAATCATGTACACACTGAAAGGACAGCAATCCCTATTGAATTATTTGGGGGTTACTTCTGAGTAGACATGCCTTAGAATCATAGAGTTGGAAGGGACCCAAGGGTCATCTAGTCCAACCCCCTGCAATGCAGGAATCACAGCTGTATTGCAGCCCACATTTCTTAAAATTTACTACACATTTTTAACAGTGCTTTTAGGGTGCTCACTAATCCTTACAGCAAGCCTATATTGCTGTAAATCAGTATTATTATCAACAGGTTGTAAAGGAGCATAACTGAGTCTGAGAAAAAGAAGCAGCTCATCAACTGTGGCCGAACCAAGATTTGGTTCACAGGGCCAAAGATTTGGTGTCTTTGCCTTCTTCACCAGGGTTAGGCAGAAGATGTGACAGAGGGATCCTCAATATCTGGTATCTTGTCACACAGAAAAGTTGCAGGCACCAGTGGACCAGTCTCTAATTTCCTACATTTATCCTGGTTACTATGGGACGCGGGTGGCACTGTGGGTTAAACCACAGAGCCTAAGACTTGCCAATCAGAAGGTCAACGGTTCGAATCCCCTTGACAGGGTGAGCTCCCGTTGTTTGGTCCCTGCTCCTGCCAACCTAGCAGTTCGAAAGCACGTCAAAGTGCAAGTCGATAAATAGGTACCTCTCTGGAGGGAAGGTAAACGGTGTTTCCATGCGCTGCTCTGGTTCGCCAGAAGCGGCTTAGTCATGCTGGCCACATGACCCGGAAGCCAATAAAGCATGACCCTTGGCCAATAAAGCGAGATGAGCGCCGCAACCCCAGAGTCGGCCACGACTGGACCTAATGGTCAGGGGTCCCTTTACCTTTATCCTGGTTACTGAGGAAGAATGAAATGTGTGCCATCTTGGAGGAAGAGGTGGGATATAAATGATGATGATGATGAAGATAGTTTTAGATTCTGCCCATGGCAAACAGTGTTCACCGGGATTGCCATCTTTCTGCTCCCCCATCCCCAGCAGAGTTCCTGTGCTTGCAGCATCTGCTTCATAGACAGATATCCAACTGTGGCAGGTTTTTTTCCTTGGTCTGTTTCCACACTGTGGAAACAACCCCAGTTGACTTTTTTTTGCTTTTTTAAGCCATGGAAAAACCTTGAATGGATGCCAAACAGCCTTTACTCTGGAACGCAACAGGTGGTGCTATTGCACCAGTAAGCTGAAATAATGATTATTCTCTGCAGCTGCTGCCTTTACGCTTCTCAGATCCTGAACTTCATTTTTTGGGGGGGGGACAAACAGCCCAAGAAATGAAAGAAACGGAACAGATTTGCGTTCAGGTCTGGAATAATGTTGGAATCACCAAACAGACCTACTTGGCTCAGGTGTGCGGACAGTGTGCGGACTTGGGAGGTGAGACTGTGGAATGAAGGTGCTCCCAAAGTTGGAAAGGTTGGAAAGAATATGTGTCTGAAAAGAAATGAATACCAAAAATAAAACTCTACATACGTAGTTCTAAATCGACATGGCTAAATAATGGGTGTTGTTTGAATCCAGCTCCCATCATCCCTGACCATTCTGGTTGGGTCTGATGAGAGTTGTAGTCCAACAATGTCTGGAGGAACACGGGCCCCCACCCCACCCTAATGGACTTAAAATCATACTTTGAGTAGCCTGGTTTTAATAAATTGACTTAAGAACCGAAGATAAACCTGTTGAATCAGACCAGTGGCCTATCTAGTCCAGCATCCTGTTCTCACTGTGGCCAACCAGATGCCTGTGGGAAGCCTGCAGACTGAAAGAAATATACTCGGAGTCGAGAGTGGATTTCATGCTCTTTATTCAGCTCATAGTGGTGAGGAGGAATGGAAGTTCCCCCAAAATGTCTGCTTTATATACATTATTTACACAATGGGCCCCACGTGATTGGCTAATTCCGGAATTCTCCTGTAGGCCAATCAGGTTGCGGATTCACTTCCACCTGGAGCTGGATTGGGTGGCTCCTGTCGACCAATCAGACTGCTGCATTCCTGGATCCTATTGTTCTAGGACCAATCAGACTGCTGCATTCTGAATCCTATTGTTCTAGGACCAATAAGACTGCTGCATTTTGGATCCTGTTCAACTCAGTACATAACACTGGACATGAGAGCAATAACACTTGTATTATTGATTCCCAGCAACTTGTACTCAGAGACATAATGCTTTGGACAGTGGAAGTAGAACATAGCCATTATGGCTAGTAGCCTTTGATAGTCTTGCCCTCCATGAATTTTAGTGGCGAAGGAGAGCTGAAAATAATGCCAATATATTTCACATCTGGCAGCCAATGTGCCCCTTTGGCTTCTGATAGTACATGGGTAAGATGGGTTTAAAAAGCCCAGGACCCAAATGGCTATGGTGGCTCATATACCAGAAGTAATGGATTTAGTGTTAACTCTGCAAGTGTATACTCGATTCTGACCAAACTAACCCTAGCTTTTCACAAAAACTGCAAAACTTTTCACAAAAAAGAATAAAACAACAAAATTATCTGTCAAAAAGTGTCTTTAAAAACCTGTTTAAAACTTTCAAAAATAATAATTAAATCAAATGTAAGATTTAAAACCTACCGTATTTTTCGCCCTATAGGACGCACTTTTTCCCCTCCAAAAATGAAGGGGAAATGTGTGTGCGTCCTATGGGGCGAATGCAGGCTTCGCTGAAGCCTGGAGAGCGAGAGGGGTTGGTGTGCACCGACCCCTCTCGCTCTCCAGGCTTCAGGAAGCTATCCGCAAGCCCCCACAAGGTGGAGAAGCGCTGCTTTCCCCACCGCCAGTCCCACAAGCTCGGGGGACAGCGGGGAGGCGGAGTGCGCCTTCCCGCTGTTCCTCGACCTGGTTTGCAGGCTGGCGGTGGGAGCTGCCTGCATCCCGAAGCTATCCGCAAGCCTGGGGAGACCGGCGCGACTTCCCGATGGGCTCCCTAGGCTTGCGGATAGCAGCCTGTTCTGGGGGCTGGGGTTGGGGGAAGCTCGGACTTCCCCTACCCCAGCCCTGTGCCTGGGGGGGAAATATATATTTTTTTCTTTATTCCCCCCCCCAAAAAAAAACTAGGTGCGCCCTATGGGCCGAAAAATACGGTAATTAAAGCACATGACAACATTCCACATTTCTGGACAGGCTTGCCTAAACAAAAATATTTTTATCAGGTGCTGAAAAAGGTACTGTGAAGGTGCTTGCCTGATATCAATAGTTCCAAAGTGTGGGTGCTGCCACACTAAAATTCTATTTCTTACAATGGCACAAGTATTATGTGGCACATGTAACAGTGCCAGTTTCGCAGAGCTGAGTGGTCAAGTAGATCTGTATGGGGTAAGGCAGTCTTGTGATTTAGCAGGACCAGGCAGGCAAAGGCAGGTTTAACGTTTGATTAATGTTGTGGTTGATGTATATCCAGCTGTGATGAGCTACAGAACAGAAGGCCATGAAGTACAGTAATTCCTTCTTCCTCTCTTCCCATGTGCAAGTAAAAATTAATAAAACCACCAAGGCTACAATCATATAATCACTTTTACCTGGGAATAAGTCCCATTCAGTTCAATGGATGTTTCCTCTGAGTTGAGATGCATAAGCTTGCATTAAAAGCAGCTAATAGGTCTCCTGTCTGATAGATATTTCCACACTTTCCTATCTGCTCAGCTTTTGGGAAATGCATCATGTCATCCTGGCAGGAATCCTTTAGTCAAAGACATCTTCTTTGATCGCTTAAGGATGGATTATTATTATCATTTATCTTGATTGTTACCCTGCCAGGTTCCTGTATGCATAGTCTCTACTCCATATGGAAAGAATTTGTTAAGGCTGATAAATGTCTTTGATCTATACATTGACCAGTGTTTAACTCTTTGTGGGTCAGAACACAAGAAGAGCCTGGCTAGACTGGACCAGAGATATATCCAGTGTAGGAGAACTTTAGACTCACAAATTATGTACTTTTCTTTTCCCTTGCATGACACTGGGGCTTCTGTCAAATTTGTATTGTAGGTTGGGGTGGTGGTGTTAATCTGGATGATGCCCTGAGTCCCTTCCAATTCTTGGGATCCTGTATCTGAAGGGTTAGAATGTATAAGAGCAAGCTTGCCAAACCAGTCCCTTTATCTAGGTATCAGTTTTGGCTGTTTAGTTAAGCACCACCATCAGCATAACCAAATAAGTTTCTGTGTACCATAGAACAAATGGGTGGGTCTTCCCCTTAACTGGCTGCTAGTTAGGAAAACAATAACCAGAGTGTGTGAGAACTAAGCTGGAAGCAGGTTGGAAGCTGGAGACACATAGACATGTTTGTTCTGTGCTGGATCTAAAGTTGTGACTAAAGGAGAAGTGAGATCTGTTGGGGTGTTAATGCTGTGAGCCCCTACATCCTATGCTCAGGTTGTATAAAGATAAAGGGACCCCTGACCATTAGGTCCAGTCGTGACCGACTCTGGGGTTGCGGTGCTCATCTCGCTTTATAGGCTGAGGGAGCCGGCGTACAGCTTCCAGGTCATGTGGCCAGCATGACTAAGCAGCTTCTGGCGAACCAGAGCAGCGCACAGAAACGCTGTTTGCCTTCCCGCCGGAGCGGTACCTATTTATCTACTTGCACTTTGACATGTTTTCAAACTGCTAGGTTGGCAGGAGTTGTGACTAAAGGAGAAGCGAGATCTGTTGGGGTGTTAATGCTGTGAGCTCCTACATCCTATGCTCAGGTTGTATAAATGTACATAAAACCATATATCCTAAAGACACTGTAGTCTCCACTGACCATTCCAAGGAAAGTAAACCTGGGTAAGAGCTTGGAAACCCTGGATTCTCTCACCACTCAGAGATTGGGGCAGCAGTATTATACACTTAACAGTGAGATGCTGACTGTGCCAGAACAGAAAATTGTGGTTAGGCTTGCAGTAAGGCTGGAGTGGGAATGTGGAAAGAGGAACTGATGGACAGTGGAACAAAGAAAGCAGCAATTAGAGACACTTTGCCCGTGTTTGTTTGTTTATTCAATAAAATTTATATACCACTGGATTGTAGAAAAAACCCCACAAAGCAGTTTACAAAAAAGATAAAACAAACAAACAAAATCATTAAAAATGTTACAGCTATAACTGAAAACCTATAGAATGTTAAAACCGCAATAAAATAGTACTCCAATTTTGAAACATCTAGTGCATGAACTGCTGTGACCAGGCTCTCATGGTCCAGAAATGGCCATAACCATAGAAGCAGCCACAGTTGGCAAAAGGCACTTTTAGCCACTGAAGTTACCTGAGCCTTCAGTGCCAGAGCTGGATTTCAGAAGCCCCAAACTGTGGACCTGCTCTTTCACAGGGAGTGCAAACCCATCCAGGGGTTTGCAATCTAAATAGACACAGGACACAGAGAGGTGAGGTAAATGTCTAGAGCTTTGGTTGGAACATCTGGTGGCTATTTTAAAGAATCTGAACTGGGAAGGGTCATAGTTTCAAAGCTCTCTTCAGCAAGATCAGGTGTATACATAACCTGGATGGTGAGACTATTGAATTATGGGGTGTAGGTCAAGGGCCACATTCAGATCATGCATTTAAAGCTCTATGATACCACTTCAAACAGTCAAGGCTTCCCCCAAGGAATTCTGGGAGCTGTGGTTTGTTAAGGGTGTTGAGAGTTGTTAGGAAACCCCCATTCCCCTCACAGAACTACAGTTCTCAGAGTTTCCTGGGAAGAGATTGAACCATTCTGGGAATTGTTGCTCTGAGAGGGGAATCTTAAACATCTCTATCACATCCCTTGTTTCTCTTCCTCCCCGCCCCCCAAAACTAAAAAGCTCCAAATGTTGTAAACTTTACTCATACGGGAAGTTGCTCTACCCCCCCTTGTTAATTTATAATGTCCCTTTCTGAGCCTTTTCCAACTGAATAGATCATTTTGGATCTCTTCATAATCCCTTTTTGTTTTAACCAGCTTGAATACCATATTTTTCGCTCTATAAGACACATCAGACCATAAGACGCACCTAGTTTTTGGAGGAGGAAAACAAGAAAAAAAATATTCTGAATCCC